TTAAATATGCAATATATGTAATTTATTCATCAATGTCAAAATGACAATCATTTTGATTACTCTTTGTAGTATTAAAAAATCTATATTTTTATAAAATCTAAATTGCATATATTGTCTATCTGTCAATCTCTCTATATATATATATATTAGTGCTGTCAAATGATTAATCGCAATTAATCACATCCAAAATAAAGGTTTTTGTTTACATAATATATATATGAGTGTGTATTGTGTATATTTATTATGTATATATAAACACACACACATACATGTATATATTTAAGAAAAATATGTTACGTTTATATATTAAATATATTTATATGTGATATAATTTATATGAATATAAATATATACATGTAAATATTTTCAAAATATATTAGGGATGCACCGATACCACTTTTTCCAGTACTCGCCCGATACCGATACTTTTATTTTTGGTACTACCGAGTACCGATACCAATATTGTTATTGCATTTGTACATTTTTAAAATATTGGGTACAGAAACCAAAAGGGTATGTATAATGTTAGTTGGTTAACTTCATTTATCAAATAGATACAGTCAAACCAAAATTTATTCAGACACCTTCAACATTTCTCACATTATCACAGTTTATTCGCTATGGTTTAGAACATGGTAATAAAATATGACAAGAACACAGAGTTAAACTGTGTCAGAACAAATTCAGCTTGATAATGTTAGATAACTTTGATAGAAAGGTATGTAATAGATTACAATCAACCAAAATAATTCAGACAACTGTTAGTATGACAGTATTTACACAACTATCAATACTTTGTCGGGTGACCCGTAGCCTTAATGACAGCATATAGTCTCCTGGGCATGCTGTCACCCAGCTTCATGCAAACCTCAACTTCAATGTTTTTTCCCAGACTCAGTCTGAATAATTTTTGGTCCCAAATTTGTATAAATTTTACTGGTAGTCCACTGTATGAAGAATTTTTGGATATGATTTGTCACAGTTTACTTTATTTTGCTATCCTCACTTACATAAATGAACTATAGTGTCCTGCACCCACTAGTAAAAAAATATTAAAAATTATATCTGGTCTCTGAAT